CATTATGGATAAAATAATTAGAAGAAAACTTTTACCAAGCAAAATAAACAAAAGTGGAAGTCGAAAATCAATAAAATTAATTTCCAACTTAAATTGTGGCTCATTTCCCAATTAATAGAGTAAATTATATAACATGTCAGGAAGAAATAGCTTTAGGATAACATTAATGTAGATTATCTGTCTAACAAAATAAAAGACAAATAAATAGTATTTCTATTTTATTAAGTTTTGTCCATTATGGATAAAATAATTAGAAGAAAACTTTTACCAAGCAAAATAAACAAAAGTGGAAGTCGAAAATCAATAAAATTAATTCCCAACTTAAATTGTGGCTCATTTCCCAATTAATACAGTAAATTATATAACATGTCAGGAAGAAATAGCTTTAGGATAAGATTAATGTATATTATCTGTCTAACAAAATAAAAGACAAATAAATAGTATTTCTATTTTATTAAGTTTTGTCCATTATGGATAAAATAATTAGAAGAAAACTTTTACCAAGCAAAATAAACAAAAGTGGAAGTCGAAAATCAATAAAATTAATTTCCCACTTAAATTGTGGCTCATTTCCCAATTAATACAGTAAATTATATAACATGTCAGGAAGAAATAGCTTTAGGATAACATTAATGTAGATTATCTGTCTAACAAAATAAAAGACAAATAAATAGTATTTCTATTTTATTAAGTTTTGTCCATTATGGATAAAATAATTAGAAGAAAACGTTTACCAAGCAAAATAAACAAAAGTGGAAGTCGAAAATCAATAAAATTAATTTCCAACTTAAATTGTGGCTCATTTCCCAATTAATAGAGTAAATTATATAACATGTCAGGAAGAAATAGCTTTAGGATAACATTAATGTAGATTATCTGTCTAACAAAATAAAAGACAAATAAATAGTATTTCTATTTTATTAAGTTTTGTCCATTATGGATAAAATAATTAGAAGAAAACTTTTACCAAGCAAAATAAACAAAAGTGGAAGTCGAAAATCAATAAAATTAATTTCCAACTTAAATTGTGGCTCATTTCCCAATTAATAGAGTAAATTATATAACATGTCAGGAAGAAATAGCTTTAGGGCAACATTAATGTAGATTATCTGTATATATCTAATTTTTATTTAATATGTTGCTATGAATATTTGCTAACATACTTATAAACAATGTAGATGATCTGTATAAAAAAATAAAAGACAAAAAATAATAGTATTTTATTAAGTTTTGTCCATTATGTTGGTACGAAAATTTGCCAACATAAAACATACAAATATTATTCGACTTCCCAATGGTACTAAATTGCTTGACAAATACTTCAAAATCTTATATGTTTTGCCCAAACCAATTACTCTCTCAATATGTATTCTATTGGATGAAATTTTTTTTGAGCGACAAAGCTGGTGAGGCTCTAGCTGGCCAGATTTATTTTTTAAAAATTCTGGCATATTTACTGTCACATCTTTGGATGCTAAAATGTCTTGGATCTGAAAACCTCGATCTGCTAATACTATGTCATTTTTTTCAAGTAAATTAGACAGACCGCACTTTTCAAACAAGCATCTATCACTAATGGAACCTCCATAACTGTCAGAAACAAAAGATATGCTTCCTGTACTCGAAATGCCAACTAAAACTTTTAGTGTATTACATGACTTATATGTTGAGTAAGTCAGTTGTTGTGATACCGGATTTTTAGGTTGATCTATCTTCACCTCAGTACAATCTATGATGACTGTACTAGTACATTGCTGGCTTTTGAACTTAGCATTTTCTTTAGCTATATTAAATGGTACCCAGATGTTAAGTTCTCTAAATTGACAATACAGAAAGTTAATCCAAGTAATAAATATACGGCTAACTAATGCCTCACTTATATCAAATTTAAATGAAAGTTCTTTATTGATCATATTCCGCCTTAACTTAACAACTGTAAGTAGAAATTCATTTGCTGGAGTTAATATTCGTACACTCATTTTAGATCCTGTTGGATAATACAACAGATGGTTAACTGAGGGACCTAAGATATTAAAAACAAGCCAAAAATGTTCAGAGCTATCGAACCCAGTATAAAATTTGAGTTCTTCCAACTTGGACTCGCATTGTAAATTCTCAATACAAAATGAGTTTAGTGGTATAGCAGTCATAGTTGATGCATCACATTTATCTCTAGGTTGATCTTCATGGTCATCTATCTCCATTGGTATTGACTCTATTTCAACCTCATTACAGGGTTCTGTTGGGATTGGGTTCGACGAACTGATGGATGACAAATGTGATGAATCTTTTTCGACTGCATGTTTTATCATGCGTTCGTTTCTTTGCTTGGCTGATTCTCGTTTCTTTTCAGTCCAGCTAAATTGGGTTGGTATAACACCCTTCTTGAGTCTAGGCTTTGCTTTAAAAAAATTGTTCACAAAAAAATTGAGGTTATAATGATGGTACTAAGTAAATAATAATTTAATGAAATAAAGACTTCTTTTGTATGTTAGTATATTAAATTAGTTTAATATAAAAACATACAACAGCAGTTTTTACTTCATTTTAATATGGCATACAGCTAACTACAGGGTTTTCCCTATTATATTCTTAGTACCTAAATATGGCTGCAACTAAATATTCCAGAAAAACATAAGTATTTTAACAAATAAACAACTTACGATTTTTTAAAGTCGAATCCAGGGCAATATGTAATCTGTTTCAACAAAATGTTTATTGCAGATACGTGCATTTATTGTCGGTATATATTTATCCCTTCTAATTGCTACAATCCACTTTTTTCTCATCACAATATCTTTGGGAAACCTGTGTCCTGATGTTCTCGATGAGCACAAAGGCACAACACAACATTGAGGCATTTTATTTGCTCAAATTAAATTCACAAAGCCAAATAAACACAATATTTACATACAAGTAAATTGATTTGAAAATTTGACGTGACCTCCAACTACACAAGCGCCACCTACGTTGAGCTTTTCAGATTAGCTGCCATTGATATTAACATTGAGAATTTAGTGATGGATTTGATATAAACAGTCTTCACCGGATTATTTTGCATTCACAACTGAAGACTGTATGAATTGAATTTGAATAATTTTGAATTTCCGTTTTATAACATTGGAATAAAAATAAATTGTAAATAATGAGTTTTTCGAAAATTTGTTACCTAATATGTATCATATTTTCTATTATTTTTTTATTGATAAAACAAAAATTTTATCCTTGGTGTGGAATTGAACCCCAATTTTCTCGTCCATAGACAACGTCCCTAACCACTACACCAATCTCACATACACTAAGTGTTTCCAGACAAAACATACCTACCTTTATTTTAGTCAAATATTTCAGTTGAGTTATTAAATTTAAAGATTTATAATTTAAAATCGCTACTAATGAATGTTTTTTACTATAACATATCTTAATTTATTCAAGTATTTATTCTAACATCAGAAATTATTAAAATAAAATCTATTTGAGGGTAACCTTATAATTATGACTGAAGTCAAATAGCCACGTCTAACGTCTAAAGGTGTGAGACTGTCGATGGTGGTAATGCAATGTAATGTAAATTATAGGTTTCTATCGATTATTTCCCACCTCTACGAGTTTCATCTCCTTTTATTTCACAAGGTAACTGTGTTTTCTATCTCTTACGTTATAAAGCCTGGTGATATCGCACTCACCACTGTATATATATATATATATATATATATATATATATATATATATATACATATAAATATATATATATATATATATATATATAAATATATATATATATATATATATATATATATAAATATATATATATATATATATATATATATATAAATACATATAAATATATATATATATATATATATATATATATATATATATATAAAACATTACGCTACATCAACTGATGTAGTATAATTTGAAAGTAAACTCTCAAGTTTACTTTTACGAATTAGGATTCCTATTATGTATTTTTCGTCAAATATTTTGTTTTGTTTCGTAATGCCGTTTAACATTCCAACTCTTAATTATTGCCACAGTCAGATGGCAAACAAACAGGTACTGCTCCAACTCGGTTTGACAAAGTGAAACAATATAAATTTGATGATTCAGGTTGAAACTGCCTGTTTTCTGATTCAATTCTTCTTTTCTTCTTAGCCATTTGATATGAATGTAAAATATAAACAACGCTAGAACTATATAGAAAACAACATTTCAAATTATTAACTAGAAAAAGGATAAAACAATAAAAACGTAAACACTCAGAATGACGACTTCTCGAAGACTGCGATGAGACAAGCAAAACTGAAACTGAGACTAGACTAGGGATGCGCGATATTCATCGATGATTGATAAACATCGTACTCCTTGGCTTGATGGTCGATGTTTTGTCATCGATATTTAGGTATTTAATAAAATTGATGCTAAATCGATGTACCATCGATGTTAATGAAAATATCCAACATCAATCCTAGTAATCTTTAGTTTTAATAAATATAATAGAATTATAATAAAATTTCACAGAATGGTTATTATATCAGAAATATGCAAATTGAAATAATGTTATTATGAAATACAAAAGAATTTCAAAATTTGAAACACAAAAGAAATTCATTTTATTATGGTTCTATTACCTGAAAGTTTGAAAAAACATTTTAGTTTTATTATAGACTGGTTACTAGGTACATCATAAATATGCAATTTAAAAAGAATTTAGTGTTTAGACAGCTTTCCTATTGTAGTTTGCTAAAAAAATTTTGGAAAACCGTTTAGTCGAAACATAATGTTTAGATTACGAATATTTCTATATAGTATTAGTACTGTGCATTTTAAAAAGTGCGTTAGGTTTGATTATAATTTTATTACTATATTTTGAATTTAACGGCGGTCCGCAAAAAAACAAGCTCATGGTCCGGATGTGGACCGCGGTCCGCCATTTGGTGACCCCTGTTCTATAGTATGTTGTAATCATTATAGTCTAAATAATATTTATTTTCCAGACTATCAGTCTACACATAATGCAAGTAGTGCCGATGACGAAAATGATACCGCATCTGATGAAGAACAAGTCCCCATTATGTACCAATATGAAATGGTGGGTCCATTGGAAAGGACAGTAAAGCGACGAGGTCATCTTCCTAAAGAAGCAGTAAAAATTTTAAAAAATTGGTTGTATGAACACAGATTTAATGCATATCCTACTGAAATTGAAAAACAGATTTTGTCGCAAGAAACGAACCTGACAGTACTTCAAATAAGCAATTGGTTTATAAACGCCAGAAGGAGGTACCTTCCCGAAATGATGAAACGTGAAGGGTAAGTTTATTGTAACATAATTTTTATATCAAGTGGGTGACTTTATTTTGGGGTTTTTCTCTAAATTGGATGTTGTCTCCATGGTATATTTATAGTTTAAGGTAAATGTTTTTCTTTTATAGAAAATTTCGTCATAAAACTAAGCTGAACATAATTGATGCACTACTTTTTTATATTCAAATAATTACATTAATGGGAACTAAATTATATTTAAAACCTGAAAGAAGTCTATAAAAACAACTTTGTTTTGTATAATTGAACAGACTTTTTGTTAATATGACAAATTATTCTAGTGCTTTGTTACTTCATTCATTTAAACTTACTTCAACATTGTACTGTATTATTTGCAGGGTATGTTCTGAGTGTTTTTTTAATATGTAGTATTTTACAGATGATTCTATAGCAGAAAATAATTGTTTCTTAATTACTGTGGGTTAAATATTGTCTTAAAAAATAGGTGTGTTTGTTATATTTCATTTATTTTTTACACTAACAGAAATGCAACTCAAAAAATAAAAGTAATCCCAAAGTATGTGTAATAATGAATATAATTTTATTACAGAAGAGAATCTCTTATTTAGTAAAATATTTTTATTTTGCTGCATAGTTATATTTGCGCTCATCTATTATTTATATTTATGTTTAAAAAAATACAAGAGGTGAACATTTATTATTCTAATAAAAGAATAAAGGTTGAACAAGAACTGTCGGATGAAATAAATATAAAAAGAGGAGTGAGACAAGGCTGTATATTGTCGCCTTTACTTTTTATCTTATATTCGGAGGAAATATTTAAGGATGCCTTAATGGAGACAACCGAAGGTATTATTGTGAATGGAGTAACCGTCAACAATATTAGATATGCCGACGATACCTTAGTCCTTGCCAATTGCGGAGAAGACCTTCAAAATCTACTGAATAAAATAAAACAGACTTGTGATCAGTATTATGGATTAAAACTCAACATTAAGAAAACTAAATATATGATAGTTAGCAAACAAAAGTATATACAGGATGACGGTATAAAAGTCGGAGATGCCACACTGGACAGAGTAGAGAAACTCGTGTATCTCGGCGGTAATATCAATGAGAGCTGGAATCCAACCGTAGGAATTAAAAGCCGAATAGAAACAGTCCGAGCTGCCTTTGTAAAAATGAGAAACGTACTTTGCAGTCACGATCTTAGCATTGACCTTAGAGTTCGTATGACATCTTACTACATCTTTCCTGTCCTGCTGTATGGAGTGGAAGCGTGGACTCTAACTGAGGCTACGCTTAAACGCTTGACAGCCTTTGAGATATGGGTATACAGACGACTACTGAAAATAAGCTGGGTCGACAGAGTTAGAAATGAGGAGGTCCTTAGACGCTCAACACAACTGGTCAATATAATAAAGAAACGCAAGCTGGAATACTTCGGTCACATTATGAGACACCCTGAAAAATATGATCTTTTACATCTGAACATTCAGGGAAAGATCCAAGGTAATCGTGGTCCTGGTAGACAAAGAACATCATGGCTGAAAAATATAAGGCAATGGTATGGAAAATCAACTACATCGTTATTTAGAGCTGCTGTCAATAAAGTCACGATAGCGAATATGGTAACCAACATGATATCCAACGATCGATAACGGTCATGAAACTAGAAGAAGAAGAACATTCAGCCCTGGTACATTACAGCAGTTCAGGATGACTTTCACTTGGAAAAGTGCTTTCGAGTTCAAAAAGAAATTTATATACTTTGTACTAAATCTTATATTTTGGCACTGCAAGATAATAAATGCACATCTTGAAACAAATGGTGGTGCGAGTAAGCAGCACCTGTAGATTAAAGTATTTTAAGTTAATTAACTTCGAGTGTGTTTCTCAAGACAATTCATTTTTTACGGAATACCATTCAAGTTCTCTCAATTCCACCAAATCAGCTCACAAGAAGAAGAGTTTTATTGAGCTCTCCTGCAACAATAGTCTTAAAATAAATCATGATGTAATTTTTATTTTGGAAATAGCAAAACAAGTATCCAACTCGATAACTTCAAAATCTTTAAAGAATTCTCATTCTCTTTACAACATTTGGATCTTTAGCAATAATATAGATCAAGAAATGAGAGTGACAGTATCAAATATTATCCCTTGCTTTGAAAAAATGTGTGGCGATCCTCAAGTCACATCAACTTTCTTTACAATTGCTTTAACAGTAATATATTCTCGTTCATCACTTCAAATAAATACCAATATATTAGTCTCAAATTCTGATTGTTTTTGTGATTGAACCAAGATATTTTTCCATATCTGAAGCACACTTTTTGTGTGGAAATTTCCATTGACTATTTCCATTTTTGTTGGCTGCTTTGATTCCAGTACAATTTCAATATTTTGTGCGTCCATGATTTTTCTTTTCGTAATAACTCCAGTTTTGCAAAAAAATAATTTGTACACATTAAGATTAAATGCAGTGCCTGTATTTCTCTAATTGGCCAAACTCTGTCCATCTGATCAAAATCTGTATCAAAAAACCTTTGCAATAAGTTACAAAAATTTGTAACTTATATTTGTAAAAAAGTTCATTTTCATTCAAGTGTCTGTCTAATAATGTGTCACATTGGTATACTCCCTATTTAAAATTTAGGGGTGTGGAACTGGAAGAGAAGACAAATAACAATTGACTGTATCGTTAACATGTATCCTTTTTGGAATAAAAATTAACCTATTTCAGCATTCTCACTAAATATAATGATTATTAACTGTCGGGGTGGACTGTCCTCTTGAGTGGCCCCCTCTGTAATAGGTAGAAAATATTTTGTTTCTATATACTAATTGCCGGGTTGGAGGGGGGGGGGTGATAATTGTGTCGCCCATTGTATTTTATAATTTTAAAAAAGTAACTGAAACGTAACAAACTATTATTGTAATAATTATATCTATATTGATATTTGACTTTTTAAGTAAAATATTATTTGCCATTATACAATCAACAAATAAAATACTACCCGTTTTTCTTTACCCTGTATATTTGCCATTCTTTTAATTTAAATATGCATGTCATATTTATCAAGTAACTGATATATTATTGAAACTATGCGTATGGCAATATATTTAAGAGAAATCGCTATGAATTCACCCACAGGTTATCATTCAATTACAATATTAGCTTTTATACGTGATTAAAATATAAAGACTTTAAAAAATAACTTGGTAAAGTTAATTAAAATAACGCAGAGATTACAAATACTTAGCCATGGAAAGACAACCGATTCACAGGAAAAACCCCTTTCATTTCTTTCAGCTATGACTCTGTCCACTACACAATCACCAGACGACGGCGAGCGTCTTCTTCGCCTCGAAATTCGTCAGACGGCAACCCGTTAGTTGGAGATGGAGTTTATTACAAGAAACCTAAGAAGATGATCCGCTTCGATCGGGTAGAAGGTGAAACCGAGTTCGAAGTGGACGCCGATGGTTTCGTAGAGGCCAAGCCACAACAGTTGACTATGAGTACATCGGGTAGGAAGTTTAATCCTTGGAATCCGGACGTGCACTATGGCTTAACTGTAAATGCTGCAGAAAGAAGGTAAGTCGGTAGTTTTATTTAGATTTGAGTTTTTGATTATGGCCTAAATTTCTATAATAGGTCCCATACACCAGCGATCTCGAAAGTGCGCAAAATTACGTTATACAACAAATTTTTATGCAAACAGATCACCAATACACTATGCATTTTTACACAATTACTATTATGTGAGTATAATTGTACAACAGCCCTGGTTTCACAAATTTGATCGCGGTCGTGGGACCAATAAAATGTTTAGAAAACAAAAACAAATTATTGTAGACGGTACTCGAATAAGGCAAATAAAACCCACTGTATTAAAGACTTATCTCTATTGTAAGTAAAAGTTATCATAGTGGTAAGAAACACGCAGATTTCAGCTACCGATTATGAAAAACAGAATTCAGGATCCGGCGGGTAAATCCAGGTAAGACCGTGAGACCTTCCAGGTCGTGATCAAGGGAAATCACGAGATCACGAACCAGAATACACTGCAAATAATAGATTCATAAGAGTTTTGAGAAGGACGGTAAAGATAGATACATGGAAGTAAGAATAATGTACCAAGCAGACAAATTCTATAATCCCATTCAAGAAATGGAAAGACTATCAATTAGCATTACGGAAATTTCGTACCTGTGTCGAAAGATAATTTTCCTAGTTCAGATGAATACAACTCCCATAAGAACCAACATCATTCAAATACATGCATTTACTGTCGACGCTCCTGAAGAAATTGTGGCATTTTATAATGACCTCACTAATATTGTCAAAAGGATTAGGAGAAACGAAGTAATAGGGTAGGATATTTTGTGCTACGTGAAAGTCAAGAACGAGGAGACCTTGTAATTGAATTCGTAACTGAAGAAAAGCTTGTAGTGACCAAATAACTTGTTTATACTTAATCTGAGACGATTATATAACTAGAAATCATGTCAAGATTTTCCGGAATTGCGTCAAAAAATTATTGCTTCGTGACGGGCAGTATTAATCTCTGCAACGGCAAATCTGACATAAAATTCCAGAAGTGTTTTAGAAAAGAAGTGTCCTTGCATGATAATTTACCAGAAAAATTGGTGAACTAAACCAAATTGGTTAAATAAACGATTTGTTTTGTCAAATTGCGGTAAACTATCTTAGAGAAAAGAAAAACAAACAAAATGCATCAAGGTTTATTAAAATCGACCGACTAGATCTGGAAAATAGAGTATTTTAATAAACCTTAATGCGTATTGTTTGTTTTCGTTTTCTCTATGATAGTTTACCACAGTGAGACGAAAAATAATAATAAATGTGACGGAAATAAATCGAAAGGTTCATTTTTGAACAATTTTTTAAAATTTTCGCCATTTTGTTTATATTAAGGATTCACGTAAGAGAGTTTCTCTTTTAAAACCCTTCTCGAATTTTATATTTCATATTTCCCGTTTCCGAGATTGACTGCCACCTTTAAAATACACGAACATTGGAAAAAACATTTCTTTTTGTAATCTTTAAAAGTTGTATAATAATATAAAATAAATTTAATTGTCACATATAATAAATAAGATACAAAAAAAATTGTTGAAAATGTGCCATTTTTAACATGCTAGATGGTACACATTTTCTTACCTTTGATTCAGTTTCTCATTCTAACCATTTAAATAAATGTTGAATAGTGAATGTTGCTCTCCTGATCTTTTAGTATAGTTGCCGTTTTGATTGAATCGATAAATGGCTCTTTAAATAGCACAACGACTTACACCTGGCACCTGGGCGGTATAATATTGGCTACGACTATCTTGCACTAAAACCACAGCTTTTGCAGCATCCGTTGGTTTTATGTAATTTTAATACAATTGAAAATTCTAAACTCAAAACGTTTTAATACCAAATTGGTCTGGTTGTTAAAATAAGTACGGTAACAAATTAACCAGATCAACCTTATGCAATACTTTCGACTTTATGTAGTCAGTAACATCTAACATCATTCTATCCCCCAAAACGTACCTTTCAGTCCTAAACATAGACAAAAATCAATTTGGTTGCATGATGAATGTAATATACAGCTACAGCTTAAGAAGAATGCCCTTAAAAAATACAAAACGCATCTACACTGAATAATTTTCTTGAATATAAAAAGATAGAAGTTACAACTAAAAAAATGTTTAAACACAAAGCCAAAACAACATGGATTAAATTTTGCACCAGTCTTAACTCTAGTTGCCCATCAACTCAAATATGGAAGATGGCTAACAAGTTAAACAACAAAAACGCAAACATCAAACATGCTCCTTCCGCAGTTGCAGAAGATATTTTTCAGAAGTTATGTCCACCATTTGTTGACAAACATATACCTTACATGGCTTTAAATCCAGAAGAACCTTATTTATTAAAAGAAATGACATCATCTGAACTGGAATATGCTATCAAGATATCCAAAAACACAGCTCCAGGTCCAGATCAGATTTCTTACATTATGTTACAAAAAATGGGTGTACTGGCTAAAAGACTACTACTACATATTTATAACTGTATTTTGCAAACTGGAATACCTCCTTACAAATTTAACGATTGCTTTGTTATATTAATTCTAAAACCGGGAAAAGACAAAGATAATCCGGAATCATATAGACCAATAACATTATTGTCATGCATTTTTAAAACATTTGAAAGAATTCTCAAATTGAGAATGGAAATTTGGTTAAGGCGGCATAATATTCTACCAGCAACACAATATGGATATAAACAAGGCTATGGAAACCACGGATGCAGTAGTTCGTCTGACTACAGATGTTCAAATTGGTTTTTCTAATTCCATGACAACAGGTGCATTGTTTATTGACATAAAAAGTGCATATGACAATATTGATTTAAATATACTCTGTGATAAACTTGTGTTTCTTGGCATTCCAAAATCGATAGCACAAAGAGAGAAGTGTATCGATAAGAGTAGGTCACAATATTATTGGACCCAAGATCACATCAAAAGGTATTCCACAGGGAGCTGTTTTAAGTCCACTTCTTTTTAATTTGTACACATACGATTTGCACAATTTATGGTCTCCCAATATTGTTTGCTTACAATATGCTGATGATATTGTCATCTATTCACATAAGAAAACGTACAGTGAAAGTACTACTGAACTCAAACATATTATGTACAACTTGGATAATTGGACTTGGTTAAATGGATTCAATATTTCGTACCAAAAATGTGCCATAGTATTTTTCTCAAGAAAACACCCTATTAAACATCACGCTGTAACCTTACATGGCAATGATATTCCAATTGTGTCGGAATTTAGATATCTTGGTGTCATACTTGACAGAAAACTGCTTTGGACTCAACATATTAATTATACAATTGGTCGCTGCGAAAAAGGTATTAATTTTCTTAAAATGGTGTGTAAGAGATCGTGGGGTGCAGATCAAAACATTCCATTGAATTTTTATCGAGCCTATATAAGATCTATAATAGATTACGGTTGTGTCGTATATGGGTCAGCTAGCATAACCAATTTACGTAAACTTGATAGAATTCAATTTAAAGCTCTAAGGATTGTGTTAGGATTGATGAAAAGCACTCCAAATGAAGCCACCCTAGCTCTAGCATCTGAAAATCCACTCTCATTACGCAGAGAATATCTGGCAAGCAAATATTTCCTAAACCAACATTATCGTGGCACTTATAATGCAAAAATAATTAATGAATTAAATACAGCTGATTTAACATCTACATACTTCGTTAAAAAAACTCTCCACCACTTGCAAGAGCAATTATAACTTGCAACGAAATGAAGTTAATAAATTCCCCTTGTAATCTTATCTGGGAATCGTTAGATATACCACATCTAACAAGTGTTCTAGCTACAAATATTATATCCCAAAATACCAAAACGAATTTTGCTACACTACTCTTAAAGAAATCTTAAGTGACTATTCAGATCATATTGTGATCTATACAGACGGGTCAAAATCACCAACATGTACAACCAGTGCATACTTTGTATCAAAAATGAAGATTAAAAAATCATTTATTTTAAATAATCAATCCAGCATTTTTTCTGCTGAAGCGTGTGCTATATACAAAGCCCTTGAATTGTGCTGTGAAAACCAGTGGAACAAAATTTTCATATGCAGTGATTCACTGTCAGTATTGCACTCCTTACAAAACTTTAAATTCACAATCAATAGCAATATATTCATATTAGAAATTTTTCTACAGTTACTAAAACTATCAAATCCATATGGTACTAAATTTCTATGGGTCAAGGGACACTCAGATATTGTTGGCAATACTATTGCTGATTCTATAGCTAAAAATCCATTACAGCACCCACATATGGTGATAGAAGAATTTAATACATGTGACCTACTTGCCTATATCAAACAACATATTAAATTTAAATGGGACAGACAATGGATTGTAACATTTTACAAAGATGTTACACTAAGCAGAAACACAGTGTCAACTGTCTTAAGATTAAAAGTATCATGGATGTTTTCCGAAACATCTACACAAAATAGGAGTTCTCCCAACAGACCGATGTTAGTGTGGAACTAGTATAGCTGATTTAAATCACATATTCTTCAACTGCCCACTACATCGTAATACAAGCACGTGGCTGATAAAAGAATTAATAAAAGAGGGATTAAGTACACCATTAAACGTAAATCTCCTATTAAGTGAAGACAATATAAAAATCTTTAAAATAATTATGATATTTCTTGTAAAAATTAAATTAAAGGTATGAGTGTAAAATTGATCGTATGCTTGAACATTTCCTTTGTATGTTTACCATATATGTTGCCCACCTACCTAACAGTGGTTTATGTCTTGTTTGTTACAATAAAGCCGCTCTGATGAATCCCTGAGCGTGAAAAGTGTCCTTGTACAATCCTGTATGACTGAATACTAATATTTATACAGATTGAACGAAATAAATTCGGAACATAGGAATATAATGTATTTCGGCTCAATTCTGCTGTAGCTGGTTGGCCAACAAAAGATTGTCAAATAATTATATTATAAAAAATCA